TGAGAGGAGATCTCTCCTGATGGGAATCTCCCATGGAGCGCCGTCGAGGAGAGAAATCAGGTCCGAGAACCATACTCGGCCCGGCCAGAACGGGGCCACTGTTTTTTCTTTGCAGTCGACTGACCTCGTTCCAGTGCACTCTCTCCAGTACCATGTAGCCTGTACCATGGCATCCAGCCCACCCGAGCGGCCACTCATGACCGCTCCCAACCGGTGAAAGATGCATCCGTCACTAGCATATGCGGCGACCAGGAGCTCCCAGCACCAGGCCCTTAGATAAGAACCAAGGTTTCCTTCACAACACGTGCTCTTACTCAAGAAATGTTTATCCCAAGAGCCCCTGTATATCTAACTTCTAATAGTCAGATAAATACTTCATTTTATTCCTCAGAATGAAATGCAATCAAACAACCAGACGAGTAAACACGTTCTGGTGTGATAATATTCATTTCAAAAATTGAAAATGATATATCTAACTTCTCATAGTCAGACAAATACTTCATTTTATTCCTTCCAAGCCTCGAGAGAGAGCGCTGGATCTAGGGAGTGCAGGCGGAGAAAGGGCGAGCCGTCTCCAACCCATCCACTAGATCCACGTGCGATCCCCGCGATCTGAATCGCCGCCATGCCTCAGCAATAGCGGGACCAAACCGCGAGCTCGCAAGCACAGACACACTCCTCAGCGCGTGCCCGGCAGGAGCGGAGCGTTCAGCGGGGAGAAGCACAATCAGCCCTTTATTTCCGAGAGCTGACTGCGCGAGCTCTGCTCCCCAGTAAATGCTGCTCATAATAATATAGACATAATATGCTTGTGTAACTGATGCTTGTGCAACTGGCTAGCTCATCGACGTCCTCCACACCGGATCCATATGCGAAACCCACGAGCACAGCCGCCGCTCCACCTCGGCGAAAGCGGGGCCGGCACCACGAGAAATGCCAGTGAAGACTCCCTCCTCAAAGAGAGCCCTCAGAGAGCGAGCATACACAGTGACAAACGCTCGCAATGTGGGCAGTCAGCGTGTTTTGCTCCCAAGCAGACAACACACAAACTGTGTGTATCCCCACCCGAAATGTAGCGCGGACAGGGAAGAACACACAGCCTGAGATGCTGCCCGCTCTTGCCGTATGTTTGTCTACACTCGTATTGGTAAAATAAAGAGTGATAATGGACAGACAACACCAAATAAGACTGACACACAGAGCACTTGCTGAATGACCGAAAGTTGACGCCGGTTTCACTGCACATGCTTTTATGCTTCCTGGTCGCTACTTCACCCCGCCCGTGACGTCTCGCCCATCCGTTGGACTGATTACACATGTGATTCAGAGCGTGGTCACGCTGGAGGCGTTCCTGTAGCGTTTCGACGCAGCTCGAGTTCCTGAAGGGGAACTGACAATTTCTCTTCGTAATACAATTGTTAAAAAGTTCCATTACTAATTCAGAAGATTCAGTGTCAAAGTGATATGGAACTGGGGTTATTAAACCTGGAACTACTACATACCTGTTTAGTTATTGAATGAACCAATCATAATCAGGAATTTAACAATGCTGTTGTAGAAAATATGTTGACAGCTTTATTTTGTTGATTTCTTAGGTTGCAGAGGGATCTGAAGTGCACTTTGAGGCAAGAAATTTTTCTGAGTCGTGTGAGGTGAAGGTGGAAAATCTTCCTCATGGCAATGAGCACCTGCTTTCTTGGGCCCATCAACGCTACCATGCAGTTACCTCTTTCAGCGAGCTCAAGATGGCCCATGACGTCTACATCAAGGTTGGAGAGGGTATGTAAATCTAAGCACACACAATGTTTTATAATTCCTTTTTTAAGGTACCTGTTGCTCAAAACTCTCTATTATTATTATTATTATTAATAATATTCTTTTGAGTGCATAACACATTTTCAAATCAGTATTTTGGTCTCTTTTGTTAAAAAAAATAAACTTGCTTAAAGGGGTCCTATTATGCTTTTTCACTTTTTTAATTTTAGTCAGTGTGTAGTGTGTATGTTTGGGCATAAAAAAGTGTCTAGAACAATTCTTACAAGTACAACACGACGTAGCTGGGCGCCGTGGACAGACGCCGAACGGCGCCGTCGGTGTGCCTAAACTCATAGAAAATAATGTATTTGAATTTTAAAGACGTGGCGCGACGCGACGCTGCGCTTCTCTTCCGGTGTGTGTTCTAGTACACCCCCAAAACAAAATCAAGACTTTGTAAAAGAGCATAATAGGACCCCTTTAAATGCATTTACTTGAAGCTAAATATAATACGACTTTACAGTGACTTTATCTTGTATTGTTTTTTTTTTTCTTATCCCACCAAATTTCTTATATTTATTTAAAATAAACAAATAAATAAGAAGAGAAATAAATGTAATTCAAAATGTAAAAATAAACTTAATTAAAATTTTTTTCAGAACATTAGGGTTATGCATTATTTTATTTTGTTATAATTAGGGGTGCTCCGATTGATCGGCTACCAATCACTATCGGCCGATAATCACGTTGGGATGTTTGATCGGCGGTCTCTAAAATGGCTGATCTCAAAAAAACGATCTCAAGCTGATGACTCTGCTGTGAAAGGTTTGGCACGACATGCAGCGGCACTGTCTCAGTTTCTGTCCGGCGTGGGTGAAATAATTGTAATGCTGAAGGTGAGGTACTCACCTTCACATTTCTTCATTAAATAACTTATAAATTCATTTGAAAACCTTGTGTGAGACGTAATTTCACAAACAGCGTGAGTGAATCACCGCGCGCGCGCTCTCTCTCAAAATAGAGAATTAGAGGTCTGTATTCCCGCGGCTCTCGACCCGACCAGATGTTTTGCGCCGCGGGATTAAATTCCCGAATAAAACGCGGTAGCAGTCAGTAACTAGTGTAATTTGAACGTATATAATTTGTATATTATTAAAGTCTCCTGTGTTTCACAGTCAACACATATGGCTTTTTGGCTAGGTTTAAAGGGAAAGAGCACTTTTAGATAAACAAGGCAATAATAGATGGCACTCGTGGAGGAAGGAAAACAAAGTTCTTTATGAACCGCATGATTGCTTGTAATAAAGATTTAAATGCAAAAGAAAAGGCAGTAGGGCTGACTATTTCTGTTAATGATAAGTTTGTGATAACGTAAGAAAAGTAGTTTAAATGTTTTGCCACTTGCTTGAGCAACTTAATATATAAATCTACACTGTAAAAAATTATTGTGATTTTAACAGTAAAAGACTGGAGAATTGATGGAAAGGCCAAGTAAACATACTGGAAGAGTTTCAGACGAGAACTCTTGACTGCCAGCTTGTGTGTATGGGCCCTTCGCTAAACCAGAAGCCTTTCACAACAGTCCTTTTAAAAAGAGAAGGATGAGGAAGAATAGCAGACTGAGAGGGGGAAAAAATGCGCAAAGGGAACGTTTGGCAGGGAAGGTATAGAAAAGGCACAAAAGAAAATAGAGCCCAAAAACAGAAAGTCAAAATTTATAGCAGTACCAGGAAGCCCTGCAAGATGGCAAAGTATCTTAGCCATCTGCCCATTGACACGAGCCGTAGGGGGGAAATTGGCTTATTCTCAAAGGAAACGGTTTGGGGGGATTTAACTTGAAACCGACTGTTGGACTTTGATATGATGTTTGAGTCAGACATGGATGCCACATTCAAATAGATTTTGTTGTTTACTTGTTGAGGGCATGAAAGAGAGAAAGTAGAAACAGATACTTGCAAATACGCACCATTAGCGCAGCGAGCCGCAGGAATTGTTTGAAGAAAGTAAAAAAGGACAGATGTGTGATTCACCCAGGGCTCCATCATGTTTCCCCTGCTGAGTTCTAAGAACAAACCAGCAACACTTCTTACTTCAGCATCTCTCAGCTGTCAAGTTGCCTAGTTAAACTGCTGGTGCTCATTTTTCAGTCCGTAAAAGAACATAAGATTCCAGTACTAGAAGAAAGTAATGACTGCATCATTCAAAGTACACAAAGTCCAGTCTCTGAGCCTGTTTCGGTCAGCTCCGTAAAACATTTGGCCCGGTGTAATTTTGAGTTTGTGGTTTGGCAGCGACTCAAAAGGCTGTGTTTACCTCTTCAGGACAGTTCTGGCCTTCTACTCTATCTCAACCCTTTGTAGCTCGGCATGAGAGCGGACATGCTTCCGATCTGTTTGCTGCAGAGAACAGGCAACTCTCTTTCCCCCAGTACCTCAAAGAGCCAGGAAGAGCCGAGAGTAAGAGATGCCAGCCTTTCATGATGAGTTCACACTCATCACCCTTGCGCTTTGTCCAAAAGCGTAATGGCCAAATAAGGAAGCATCTGTCTTCTGTTTCTCTGGGGCAAAGAGAAGAGCCATCATCTCTTTTGTGGAGGAGCAAAGAAAACAGTGTTCAAGAGCAGAGAGGATTTGTTTTGTTTTTCAGGGAATAGTTAAACATTTTCTGCAGCAGGACAGGTCAGGCAGAGTACTGTGATTTGATTTATTAACAAGTATTTTTAAGGGATTAATCTGCCAACATTTGGCCATTTTCGTGAATATCATCGTTTTGATTAAATGTTGAAAAATGTATTTTATTATTTTTATTATTACCATTATTCATTTTAGCACATTTATGTACAATCAATTAATGAACTTGACCTTGACCAAAAGTTTGAATCAGAAAGATGTATTTATTTATTTAATGTATTATTATTATTTTTCTTTTTCTTTTTTTGTATTTGTTTGTTTTAAATAAATTAATACGTTTATTCAGCAAGGATGCATTAAATTGATTAAAAGTGACCGTAAGGACTTATTATTATTTTTCTTGAAAGGTTTAAAAAAATTTAAATGTATTTTCTACTTTAAATAAATGCTGTTCTTTTGGAATTTCTTGAATCCTTCTTTCTTGAATAATAAACAGCACAACTGTTTTCAACTTTGAACACTGAGCAAAATATTTTCAAATTAAATATAATAATATATTTAAAAATGAATTAATACATTAATAATAAAATAGAAAACAGTTTAAATTGTAATAATATTTCACAGTATATTTTTGTCATTAAAAAAATTTTTTTTGAACAGTATATTTTGACATGATATCAGCATTTGGCCAACCAGCTTTTAAGATATGGACATCACCAGTGGCCACTGAAAATAGATTGACCACTATGAAAAAACCCACAAACTTCACTCCGCTTCTACTCCTGCTCTTGTACTGTGTTCTGGTACACAGCAAATACAGACAAGCCAAGTGATACAAACAGTGAAATATTCCAGTGCTGGTATACTAAATATAAGATTATAGGACTGTAACGAACTGTTGGTAATGTGGTGTACTGTGCAGTATGTGCCAATCAAACATTTCTGTGTCCTCAAAATTTCTAGCCCTTAACCTAAACGTATCTCAAATTTGTTTCAGACCCCGTCTTTTCCGAGACCTGTAAGATTGATAACAAGTTCCTGTCTCTGAACTACCTGGCAAGCTACATCCAGCCCCAGCCATCCACAGGGTGTGTTCTCTCAGGTCCTGATCATGACCAGGAGGTCCACATCATTGAGCTCCAGGCACCAAACTCCAGCAGGTGAGGAGAAGACTGTTGAACTACATTCCTTTTTGTCCTCTTGTATTACAAAAATATCTGCTGTGGAAAGACACCTGAGTGCCTTTCCAGACATCCATTTCTCATAAAAGAAGTTCATACTATGTATAAATGTGTTTCTATGTTTAGTATACCATGGTGTGCATGTGGACGCGCCGCTCATGGATGGGTGGGTGTGTAAATGTGCGTGCATGTCGCTTTGTATTTGTCATTTTAGGTTGTCATTGTGTTTTCTCCGGTTCTGTAAAGTTTATTTGGAAATAGGCAGGAACTAGGGTATTGTTGATTTTGGAAAACTCTGCTGGGTAAAACTCTCTCCGCCTCCACCAATATCACTCACTATTGCCTAATAGTGACTCAAAAAATGAAAAACAGATCTAAAGATATGCAAGCATCATGATGGATCCCATCATTGCATTATGTGGTCTGTTTAACATGTGTCCAGCTTTGTTTTCTAGGAAGAAGTCCAGTTTTTTAATCAGTTGGCTAGACAAAAAACATGTTAAAACTGAAGTTGAATAAGCCCACAGCGTCATCGGCAAACTGGACATTGTGGTATGATTTCTAAATTATTGTCTACATGCAAAAGATATAATGTACCTGCAAAGACAGCAAATCCCTCATGACTATTTTTTCTATTGTTGCTTTACATACTAATTTATAATGTTTAAAGGGGTCATGGACTGAGAAATCAAAATTCCCTCGATCTTTTGATATAAAAGGTAATTGTCCTATAAAAATATCCTGTAAGTTTTAGAACTCAAAACTTTCTCGTTAGTCTAAAAACAGCTTATATTGAAGTCAATCTGCCAAAACGACAGCTTGTGGAATGTGCCACTTTATTACGTATTAGTGTGGCTAAACCCCGCCTCCGCAGAAGATCAATGCCTGCTTCAACATCACTGCCTGTTTATTATAATTAAACCGCCCACCGATTCACACACGTAGTGGGTAAATAATGAGAGAGGCAAATGCAGGTCTATGCAGAAATCCAATGATAAAGACGGCTCCAAAGACACCAAGATGCTGTGCAGTGCCAAGTTGTGGAAAAACAGTCTTTGCTTTGCATTCCTTCTGATCCCAACATTAGGAAAGAATGGATGAACTTTATATTTAATGAAGATCCAGACTGCGTCAGTAAGAAATCGGACCTTTGTTCACTTCGTTTCACCACAGATTCGTTTACAAACAAGGCACAATTCGACGCAGGATTTTCAGAAAGACTGAAACTAAGAGACATGCTGTGCCGAATATATTGGATCCAACAGTAATGTCGCACTACACAAGTGTGAGTAACTGTTTTTATTAAGTGGTCACTATTGCTTTGTCTGTTATTACAGATCATTTGATATGTACGGAGTATTTACGCGTTTTTAACCAAAATCACAGCAGCATCCATCTATGAAGGATGTAGGCTATCAAATATACACAACTGTTAGCCAATCATAGCAGTGGGCGTTTACTTCCTACAGGAGTCTACAATCCGCCACGACTATTCAAACAGAGCGTTCCGATGAAGGGGGACAAAACAGGACAGAAAATAGCCTATTACTTCTAAATGATGATGTTTTTTGATGTCAGAATTTTGACAACATTATAAGTGGACCTCACAGAACAAAATAATAAAAAAGACAGTTCATGACCTCTTTAAAGGAAGTTTTGATATTTTTACTGGAAAGACAAATATACTGATTAAAGTTTAATGATATTTTATGGAAAAACATTTTAGGATGGTTGTTTTTATAAAATTACACGTTATAAAAGTCCAGCTGTAATGTTGAAAAAATAAATAAATACAAAAATAAAGATAAATACTACTGTTACATACAGATTTTTCTTTATGTTTTTAAAAGAATATTCTTTTCACCAACGCTACATTTATTTGATCAAAAATAGAGCCAAAAGCAGTGATATTGTGAAATTTAAAATATTATCATATTTAAAAATATGATTTAATTACTGTGATGTCAAAGCTTTTAATTGTGATAAATTATTATCACAGTTGAATATGGCTGAATACAGTTTCTTTTTTTAGGGTTGTAACATTTCTTCTCATTCAAAAAATCACTGTGATCCCAAACTTTAGTAGCAGTGTATATAATGTTTTTTTAATGGTTGGTAAGTAAACTATATGTAATTTTTTATCTTCAAACTGTGTAAAAACAATAAGCAAAAGATAGCAAGTTAATCCAATGAACTGTGTGATCTGGAGGCCTGTCATGAAATGGAGTAATAACAGAAGGAGGAGTGTAGTGAGTTTTTCTTCAGCCAGAGCCTTTGGTGTGTTTTTATTGTAGTGTAGGCCTGGCACTTCAGAATATGAATTATGGGAGTGTCTGGCTGCTGGTTTCAGATAGCGCAGCACAAGACTCACACCACTGAAGCTGTCATTGCACTGCTCTTGGAAAGCGACTTGCACACACTGTGTAATTTAATACTACATGTTTGTGCGTTTTTATGTGCTGCTTACGAGAAAAAAAATCCACTTTTAAGAGTTTTAATGTGTTTATATGATAATTTATGAATGTGTTTCTGAGCTGGAAAAGAGTAATGAAGAGTAAAGTACTTTATATACAAGTACAGTGTGATTCTTTTACACACTGATCTCTCATTGAATATACAAAGACAGAAACCAAAACAGTACAGTAGACAACAGCAGTTTATATATAAGAATGTTTATATTTTAAAATAGAAGCAGTTAAAGTTTAAGAAGTTGAGACATGCTCCAAGACTCCCCTAGTAAAAAGTATTATATTTAAAATACATTTATTTACTGACATATCGCTCAAGATTACTGATATAAAAATTATAATTAAACTTTATTTGGAGTACTACTTGTGCACAATGCACATTTCTTAATATTAAGCCTAAAATGTGTTTTAATGTCACTATTGATAAGGATTGTATGATCTTTGAATATCATCGTCTTTAAATGCAAGATACCTAAAGTATACTTGCAATAGTTCCACTTTAGCACAATCAGGTTAGTTGAACTTCAGCACCACTTCCGCACAATTAAAGTGCATTAAGTGCAAAATGAGTTGTTCCAATTTAGCAGCCTTTAAGCATACCAGTTTAGTATGCTAAATTGTACAGTTGCAGGGTATTATTATTAAGTACATAAATATGTAGATGTGTTTGTAGTATACTTAGCATGAAATAAATGTATTTCAAATACATTTTAGTGTTTTTATTTTTCACTAGGTTCAATAGTGATTCCAATAGACATGTTAAGAAATCACAGAGTTTCGGAATTTAAACTATTAGGGGTACAGTGTTCTTACATTATGCTATGGTATTCGGGAACTGGCAGTCAGAGTCATAAAGTTCATTAGAGAATTTTTATGTGCGTGTCTAAGAGTGAGCGAAATGCATCTGTCTCCATGAATGTGTTTGATTGAACTTGTCTGTGTCCAAGTGAATCAGTTACAGTGTTTTAGAGCATAGGAGAATGTAAGTTATGCATGTGATACGATCCACAGCCTCATAAAATCAAAGCCCTGCTACTGTTGGCAGATTGGCTCAAGCTCGTTGTCCAGCCTGGTGAGGCATTTGTGGGAAACATGGCTGGGAATGAGGGCCATCTGTCCTTCACACCCAATAGAGAACAAACAAAAGCTAACATAGAATTCCTATGTAATCTGACGTACTGTATCTCAAACCACATTCAAATTGAACCTGGTAAATTGGTCATAGACCAACAGCAGCATGTCTCACTTTGTCGAAACTACAGATATGTAATGAGGACGGTCCAACATTTTTGCAATAAAGACCAATGTCATGTGATTTTACAAAAAAAAAAAATCTAAACTGTTTTGCATATTTGTATTAAAATATTTGCATCGATATGACAATTGAATTTTTTTGTTCATATTTTTAACTATAAGCTCAGACTAATATGTCCATGTACATTGCGTTTCATTCATTTTTTATTTAATATTGAAAGCACAATTATTAACGGCTTGACTTTTGTTATCCGTTTTCTATGCCTTAACCTAAAAACTTTTTTTTGTGTGTTTTTTAAAAAATTGAATTTTTTGTTGTTGTCTTTTTTCCCTTTCAATATTAAATAAAAAAATTAATAAACACAACATCCCGCTTAACGTGACTTAATGTGAGGGATATTCGACATAAAAAAGGAATTAGGAATTAGTTCTGATGGTAAATTTACACTAAAAAGGTAAGCAGTGTTTGGTATTTGAGCACTGACGTGTTTTCTCTTCCATCACCAAGAGTCAGACTTATCATTCTTGCAATTTGATTTAAAACATGCGTTATGTTGCAATTCCTTTTCTGGCCAACATTTCTTTACTTGGAGCTTGGCGAGTGTTAATTTTGGACCATAAGATAAGGTATTAGATCAAAATATGTTGTTAATGAAAACAAGAACAACCTTGGCTTATTGTTTAAGAGTTGTGAAATGTGCCTCAGAAAAACTAATTGAACAAGTTGAACAGGACTCGATTCATTTTTCTATTTTATAGCAAAGAATGAACACTTCTGACTGCATTCCTCTGCATGTGAAGTGAATGCGTGTTATCTTGTTCTTCCCCTCTGTCTTTCTCAGACATCAGATACCGTCAGCCTGAGTGAAGGCACAGAAAGGCTGATGCAGGTGTCAAAGATGGTGAAACAGAAGCTGCCCGCAGGATCTCAGGCTCTCATCCAGTGGGCAGAGGAAAGCGGATTCAAACCCGTCACTTCCTACACCAACACCCCTGTTGCCAACCACTTCAAATTGCGCCTCAGAGAACAAGGCAAGAGCAGAAAAATAAAACAAAAACAATTGTTAATATGTTGGTTTTGAAGTAAATTTATCTTATAATATTATTTTATACTGGAAAACTATACAAAAATACTCAGTTTGCTTTGTGTGTGACTTCCTTGCATTTGCATTAACAACAAGAAGCTGTCAATCAGAGTGATGTTTTAATCTCAACTGCTGTCACTTCCAGATCTAGGGATCATGGATGAGGGAATGTTCCCACCAGAGTTGTCCATTCTCCGCAACACCAACCCGCTTCCTAAGCCCAGCACCCGGGATTCCCCTGCACGGAACAGGTTCCCATTCCCCTTCCTGCCATCTGCAGAGCAGGGCCAGTCATTCCCACCTTTGCCCCCGTCTCTTGAGGAGCGAGTCTATCAGGCTGGGGGTCCCGAGGAACAGCAGGGGGCTCTGAATGTAGGATTCAGTGTGCAGTGTGAGAAGAACAAAATGGTGGTCAGCATTGACAAGGAAACTCTGCAGGTAACAGGAAACATTATCTACACACAAATATTAAGATGTAAAACTGAGTATTGCGGAGTTACTAACTAAAAGTAGTGGGACTATTTCCCACTACTAGTTCATTGGCTCTTATAGATTTTTGTTTTGTAACAATCCCAAGGTCTTTGCTGTCACATCTGATCAGTTTAATGCATTCTTGCTAAATAAAAGTGTTAATTTCTTTAAAAAACAAACAAACAAACCCCTGAACCCCAAATTTTGAATGGTATATTTGAATATTTATGTATTTATGTATGTTTGATGTATTTTTATTATTTTGTTGCTTTATTAGTAGTGTAGCTAACTGCTTGTTTAAAGTCCCCCTGTAGTCAAATATTTTATCCCTTGAAACTTATCTTTGAACATCAAAATGACATATTTAAATGTTTTTTCTTGTGAAAATAATTTTCTCATGCCTTAAAATAGCTTGAATGTAACTCTACACCCTTGCCTCATTTACTATACGCGGATCTATGAATATGCAAATTAGTCCCGCCTCCACTCAGTCACACCAGCCAGCGCCTCCTGATCCACTGAACTGTATTAACCGCAAAACAATGGCATACACGGATAATGACTGATAAAACTATGTTTTTACTAGCGGACAACTACAGTGAATACTGTAACATTCGTTAAAGTTACTTACTTGACGATGTTGTGTCCTAAAATGCCTTGAAAACTCGAATGCAGCCGTTTGTGATTCTTAATTCGCGCCCGCGAGCATACGCGTGTGAAGTACAGACGCCGATGCGGGAGAGGTGCGTCTGACTCTGGGCTACTTTTACACTGTTGCCACGGGTTATAATGCAAGTTAGCGATTCTACATTCACGTTAAACCACAGCTTCATGGGTTTTTTGCTCTGATTTATTTTTGGTTTTGTGCTGGTATTGGTATATTTTGCATGCTAGTGATGGGAATCGATCCCTTGACGTGATTGGTTATTGGATTGTGACATAGCAAACCGAGGTCTGTTTCAAACTGCATTTCTTGGACTGCCATTGGGAAACTACAGTTTTAAGGAGAAAATACTCAGCAATGGTGTTGATTAATAGATTGGCACATGGTTTGTCTAAAAGCATATTAAAAACACCATAAAGACAAATAAACAATATAAAAAACTTGATTTTCACTACAGGGGGACTTTAAAGTTATAGCTTGAGTGTGTTTAAACTACTTTAAAAAAATCTGTAGTTTCAAAGTAGCTTCCCTAACTATGGAGACATGCAATGACATGCAAGAAAAAAAAAAATCGTGGGCACGATTTATTCGTTACCTCGATTTACTAGATTGTGTGCACGATTTATTAATTTGTTCCCTCGTTTTAAGTAAATCGTGCGCATGATTTATTAATTCGTTCCCTTGATTTACTAGATCGTGCGCACGATTTAATAATCCGTTCTCTCGTTTTAAGTAAATCGTGCGCTTGATATAATAATTCATGCCCTTGTTCTAGGTAAATCGTGCGCACGAAATAATAATTAGTTGTACTGTCCGCGTACACATTCTCATAAACATGTTGCTGTTATGTCATGTTATGTTATGGACAGAGACACTTTAATTGGGTTTTAATTTGAGTTCAGCCTGTTCACAAAGAAGGTGGATATGATACGTAGCCTACTGAAGATGAATAAAGCACCAGCTCCTGTTAGGAGGTAATGATTAAAACTTGCGCACGATTTACCTAGAACAAGGGCACAAATTATTATATCGAGTGCACGATTTACTTAAAACAAGGGAACACATTTTTTAATCGTGCGTCCGATCTAATAAATCGAGGGAACGAATTAATAAATTGTGCCCACAATTTATTTTTTCTTGCATGTCATGTGCGGGTCTCCGTACCTAACACTGGTAAGAACAACATAAAAAGGTTAAAGAAGTGCAGAAGTGGTGAGTGAGAGATGCCTTGTTTTTCACCCAAGCTGATATAGTGTGAATATTCCCAGAATGTGTGGACCATATGCAATGATCTCAGAAACCAAAAGTGGTGTAATAAATCACTTCAGAGGAAGTAAAAACCCCATTCTACAATCAAAATGCTTTTGAGCAGAGTTAGGCCAGCTTGCAGCTCTTGTTTGTCACTGTCAGAAACTGAAACACACAATGGATCTCCGATTTACACAGCAATACCTTGAGGACTGATAAAAGATATTGTTTGATATGTTGTCAAAGGTTGAGATTTTTTCTGTGAATTCATGTTTTCCTAATGTCCTCACAGGCCAATGGGTTTGGAAAACCCAATATCACTCTTCAGGACTCCCAATGCAAAGCAACCTCCAACACCACCCACTATATACTAGAGACGCCCTTGTCTGACTGCCAAACCAGCAAAATTCCCTCCCACCCCAGCCCAGTGGTCCTCTATATCAATTCAGTGAGTACTTAAAGCAAATATACAATCAATAATATCAGACTGTGAAATCTAGTCCTTGTTTGCATTGCTTTGTCCAATGGATGCGAGTGTACAGGTTCAGTGTCCCTTCCAACATGCTGTATCTGTTTTCTCTGTTCACTGATGATTCACTTCCACACTGACCTTCTGAGATAATTTCTAGTGGAAATTCCTAACAACACTTTTAGCCTTGATCCCATTAAAAAAACTGGGCGACCTCCCAAATATTTATCCTTTACTATGAACCCTAAGCCTCAAGGGCAATTAAAACAATGTGACCCGTATGGTCAGAGCACAGTACTGGCTCACAGAGAAGAATCCAGAGAGCATCAAAGGAGATTGCTGTTGCAATGACAATCTTATGACAGATTGGCTTGTCTTGTGTCAATCAATTTCACCTCCATTAGACAATATTCACAGGCCTCTTTCACCTTTGAACCCACAAATTGTTCTGAGCTCACAGGGAGGTGATTCTCATACAATAATGTGAATGGATTGACATATTTTTTCCGATGAGAAGATCTGAGATGGGTTTTTTTTTGTTCATCTGCCTTGGGAGTTGCATTGCTGAAATGATGCATTCCCATGTATTAAATCCAGCTTTCTCATCTGTTTCGGCAGACCTTTGGCAAGTATACATTTCGATTATCTCTGACTGGATCTGTGCTAAGCACCAGAGTGAAGCAATGTCATTTCTAAGGAAAGTTTTATAGAGGAAATTGTATGATTGTTAGGAAATTGTTGGGTTTACATTGCCTTATTACTGAGAAGTCATGAACTAGGTGTGTCTGTGATTGACAGATTGTCATTAGCCAATCAGAACAGAAGGATGGAAGTGGCTGGCCCTTTGAATATGAAGATCTGGAGTCAGGAGATGTTGTAATACCAGGAGATCCGGATGTGACGGAAAATTTTTTACCTGAAAACGGGCATCGTGCGACTATCTTGGTATGATATTTACGTCAAACTGTAATATTCATAAATGATACAGGATTAGTTCACCCAAAAATGTATATTGAAAAACCCTAATGTGAAAAAAATTAAAATTTTCTCCTACTGCATTTATTTGATCAAAATACAGTAATATTTTTCATGCATATTAATATTTTCCAACTCTCTCTTTCTCTGTCCTTAGTTCAACTGCACGTACCGTAAGAACCAGGATACCCAAGTTGACAGTGATAACGGATCTGATGATTTCATTGTAGACTCGCTAGATAATGCTACCTTCAACATGGAACTGTATAACAATCCGTTCCACAACCCCAGCACTCAGTCCTTCCTCACCATCGCTGAGAACAGACCCATCTATGTGGAGGTAAGCATATACATATACCACAGTATGGTTGAATGCTTGATTCTGATCAATTAAGATCAGTTCCAAGATGTTCAAATACATTCCTGGCTTGTTGACCCATCACACAACATATTCTCTAAACACAGAAGCGTTTTAGAGATAAAAACCTATTGTACACTACTGTTCAAAAATTCGGTAAGCTATTTTAATGTTTAAAAAAAAAAAACTCTCTTATGCTCATCAAGGTCAGATTTATTTGACATTAAACAGCAGTGATATTGTGAATTATTATTGCAATTTAAAATAACTGTTTTCTATTTTATTATATTTTAAAATGTAATGTATTCCTTTAAAGGCAAAGGTCACATTATCCTTTCAGATGCTGATTTGGTGCTCAAGAAACATTTCTTCTAATTATCAATGTTGAAAACTGTTGTGCTGCTTAATATTTTTGTGAAAACTGTGATAAATCCCAGACTTTTAAACAAAGTGTGGAAACTGTGGGGCATTACATTGTGCAATACATATATTCTGTATGTGCATTATGATGGAAAAGATTCCTTCGGGGTTCAATAAAACCATTTCCAGTTCTGTAACCACATTAGGAATCCAATTTAATAATTTCATGAGAAACCATATACACAAATATAGTCACTGCCAAAAGCTCTTGAAATACAAGATCTGCTTTTACCTTTAAACCATGTGTGGTTCTCATTGTGTATGGTTTCATGTTTCTAATACCATAAGCGCCTGGTGTCTGTGTGTCTGATCAGACATTGTCGTGAATTTGTGAGCGTGTGTTTAGATCTCTCTCTCTCTCTGTCACTGTGAAAGAAGTCAGCAGTCTGCTTCGTGTGTACATTTCGTCTGGTCCGTATTTAACGAATAAATTCCTCAATGTGCATTAAAAAAGTCATGTGACTTTGCGCGATGGGATGGCACAGCATCTGAAATGTTGATTTGGTCATTCTGAAATGCCTTAGCCAAGATCTGTCTTTCACGACTGCAATCCCAAACAGCAGGCATCCGCCTTCGAAAGGAAGCTAATATGACTGCGTTTATTGCATTTTGTCTGTGCCCTCTGAGGCGCAAGTAATTTATTATATATGAAAAAAGACCCACAGTGACTTCCCCTACTGCAGCAAATTACCTTTTTCTTAGTGATATTTGGCACCTGTTTATCAGGAAGTGATGACAGATCTATAAACAAGTATTATGCAGGACACTCACGTGCAGCCGTCTGTTCTCTTTATCTCACTGGATAGAAACAGTGCTTTATTTGCAAAAGTTTTATGTGATGTTCCAATTTTGCGCACAAGTTAAATCCGCAACTTTTGATGTAAACATAGCTAATGATATATTCTTAAGCTTGTCACAAAACAGTGAATCTAATAACTACAGTGGTTTACTTTAAACTATTTTGTTAATTCTTTAAGTTAGGTGCATTAAAAAAAGAAAGGGTGTCATGTACATTTTCCTATATGCAGCATAAACTTTAGTCAAGCTGTCAAACCACAAAAAGACAAAATTGTTACCGGAAAAATATCTATACATATAATGTCTATACTCTAATGTATCAGCCTAGGGTGAAGTATGCACATTTACAACGCGTGTCATGCCTTTTTAATGTAGTATGTAATATTGTTTTTTAAGTAAAGATATCCTTGTTTCAAGGACTTTTAGATATTTTATCTGGAAAATTAGACAAAAATATTCTTTGACAATAGGATTTTAGCAGTGTGTTACGGTGTCAAAGAGTTAATGCAGTAATAAAATTCGGACAACATTCACTTACGTTGTTCCAAATGTAGATTCCAGCTTTTGCCAATTTTAGACAGTGATCAGTGACTGTAAATCCAAGTCTATTGGAACCATACAATAACTTTGTGCGGCATAAATACTGAAGTTTAAATTATTGCCCTCTGCCTCATATCTCTTTTATGCATTAGACTATTCAATTGACACTATTGGTTCTCCCTTATAACCAAATGTGTTGCAGATGTGTTACAAGATGTTCAGTGGAAAATTGCTTACATTTTTGATTGTTCTCACACAAAGCTACTTCAGAAATATAGCAAGTCATTTTTGTGGTGGTTTTTTTTTTTTTTTTTTTTTAGAGTGTGACAGTTTGTTGTCACTGAAAATCAATGTTATTTACGGATCTTATGCATAACTGTTTGAGGATCATCGTCTGCCTACCTGAAACGATTCGGCCACTCTCCAGAGAATGACACCTTCTTGGCACAGCTCTGTTGAGGAAATGGAATGCAATGTTTTTGGTTTTTTTTTTTTTTTTTTTTTTTTAGAGTGTGACAGTTTGTTGTCACTGAAAATCAATGTTATTTACGGATCTTATGCATAACTGTTTGAGGATCATCGTCTGCCTACCTGAAACGATTCGGCCACTCTCCAGAGAATGACACCTTCTTGGCACAGCTCTGTTGAGGAAATGGAATGCAATGTTTTTTGTGGCAGCTCTTATCTGTCATGCATGCTTTTACAGCATCAGATGGCCAAACTTTTACAACTGAATGATCCTTGAAGATTTATTTGAGGCACAGAAATCTGACGTCAGAATTTGTGATTCTTGGAACTGTATCCACTCTGACAGTGTTTCTTTAGACAGTGTGCCGTGTTAAAACAAATCGATAGCCACTGTGCATTATTTGCCGATTTGAATCAATGCCTGAGAGAGTTTGTCTAAAAAAACTCACTCAGACCGATCAAAAAAGATAGACTGAGCGTGTCTGCCAGAGGACTAGACGTAATATATAGCATCTAAACATCACTCTGCTGATCCATCTCATACTATATGAATCACTTTTGATCGTATTTATGAAAAATTGTCAAAAAGTTGTATTAATCAAGATAAAGAAAGCAGTTTTTCTTTCTCTCTTTGTCTTGCTGTCTCTCTCTTTTATTGTTTGCAGCAGAAGCATATTTTGTCTCGCAGGAAAATGACTTTTTCTTTACTAACAGAGGCATGTGACCTTTCTCCACAGATTTCAGCCACAAAAGCTGATCCTAACCTTGGGTTCATGATCCAGACCTGCTTCATATCTCCAGACTCCAGTCCTTTTATGCCGTCAGACTATGTTGTCATAGAGAACATATGTCCAAAGGACGACTCTGTGCTCTATTACCCTCAGCGAGGTGATTTTCCCATCCCTCACGCTCAGATGGACAAAAAACGCTTCAGTTTCACCTACAGATCAAAGTTCGACGTATCATTGCTCTTCCTGCACTGTGAGATGTCCCTCTGCTCCAGAAGAAACGAAATGGAGATGAACCTGCCAGAGGTACAAACCATCATCTAGCATAGCAGCTCTGATCTAATGAGCTGCCTTTGTAGGCAATATTTTGTAGGATGTACAGAATTGTTACTTATGTCAGTCCAACAATGATTTTGTGATTTTTTAAATATATTTTTGTGTCCCCAAAAGATTTTTTTCTTAAAAATTATCACAATATTTGCTTCATATTTTGTTGATTTGCAGTAAAAACTCACCAATAATCATTATCTATTTGTATAATTAGAATTAGTTACAGTAAGATTACCCGTACATTATTTTGTGCTTAAAGGGATAGTTCACCCAAAAATGAAAATTTGCTGCTAATTTACTCACTCCCAGGCCATCTAGATATACAGTAGGTGACTGTTTTTCTTCAGTCGAAAAGTAAAGGAGATTTTTAGCTGAAACGGTGAATCTGCAATGCAAATCAGTGACTACAATCACATTGCGTGTCAAAAAAAGCATATCAGGGAACACAAAATATATATAGAGGTCTTATGACGTGAAATGATCAGTCTGTGCAAGAAACTGAACATTATTTATAATATTATTACCTATAATCCATAGCCTCAGGCAAGCGGTCCGGAGTGATGTGCGGTTCACGAACAAATTATTTTTAGTGAAATGAATGAACCAGTTCAACATATCGGTCTGAACTGTCTGAAATAGCTCGCGGGTTGAGCAGGACAGATCTACAAGTTACTTTGTTATCATCATACATGCATTTCTTCCTCATTTATGTTCCAATACAAATCAGTTTTAACTGATCAATATAAACTGTAGGTGTCTTGGCTCATTGTCCATTTTTTAGTGAATGGATTACAGGTAATAATGTTGTAAATAATCTTCAATTTCTTACACAGACCAATCATTTTGCTTCATAAAACCTCAATATATCATCAGGATATTAAGTTTTTGTTCCCTGATTTACTTTTTCTGACTCTCAATGTGACAGTTGCCACTGACTTGCATTTTATGAATCACCAAGGATAACGGTTTCAGCTAAAAACATTCTTTACTGTTCTACAGTTAAATTTTAATTTTTGGGTGAATCCCTTTTATTACTGAAAACAATTTTTACCTTTATGGCTAGTCCATTTCTGCTCATTTTATGATAAAATTCACTGTAATGCGGCAGCAGGACAGTTAAACATATTGAGCGATTTGTATGCAATCAGAATTTTGGATTTTGATTGGCTAAAATTGCTTTTCTCCCCTCAGGTTAATGGTTTTTACAGAAACATTTTGGAAAGAAGACAAAAAGCTAGCACAAATAATGCAGCAGTTGGTTGAATTTGCAGCAGTTCTCATATTCAGTATCACAAAATCCTGGAGGGACTGCTATGTAGAGCTTTCCAAATGGGTCACTCATGAACTTCCATTTCAGTTATGATGCTGTCTTAGAAAGAAGATTCCTATTTAGGCAGTAGGCAGTAAGGCAGCTCACCACATTTTGGAACATAGCCTTTACCTCCTTCAGCTTTGCTATCATCATACATGCATTTCTCTTTCATCGTTATTTAATATCTTTATATTATTTATACATGTCTTTATAGATGACCCTTTGATAACAGTTCCAATTCATTAAACTATGTTCCAATGCAAATCTATTTTAACTGGTTAACATAAACTGTAGGTTTATTGGCTTTCACACAATCAGATTGAAAATCAATCAACTGCATTATCATTTACCGAATCAAAATTAGCTGCACTATGTGTGTTTGTTTAATTTTAAGCTGCACAGGGTTATCAGATCTCATTAAGTCAGAGCACAGGAACTCAGATAACTTATTGACCCTACGACATATTTTCAGAGTAGTTGCTTTATTATATGGACAAGATGAACACAATCTTTAATTCATTTATATAGTCTGTTTGACTTTGCTGTCCATCCTAAGAGTTGCTTTTCGATTCAATCCTGGAGGGACTGCTATGTAAGCTTTCCAAATGGGTCACTCATGAACTTCCATTTCAGTTATGATGCTGTCTTAGAAAGAAGATTCCTATTTAGGCAGTAGGCAGTAAGGCAGCTCACCACATTTTGGAACATAGCCTTTACCTCCTTCAGCTTTGCTATCATCATACATGCATTTCTCTTTCATCGTTATTTAATATCTTTATATTATTTATACATGTCTTTATAGATGACCCTTTGATAACAGTTCCAATTCATTAAACTATGTTCCAATGCAAATCTATTTTAACTGGTTAACATAAACTGTAGGTTTATTGGCTTTCACACAATCAGATTGAAAATCAATCAACTGCATTATCATTTACCGAATCAAAATTAGCTGCACTATGTGTGTTTGTTTAATTTTAAGCTGCACAGGGTTATCAGATCTCATTAAGTCAGAGCACAGGAACTCAGATAACTTATTGACCCTACGACATATTTTCAGAGTAGTTGCTTTATTATATGGACAAGATGAACACAATCTTTAATTCATTTATATAGTCTGTTTGACTTTGCTGTCCATCCTAAGAGTTGCTTTTCGATTCATAGCCTTGGCACGGGTCACTCTACGCCAGCTGCTAGCATCAATCCACGCTCTCTGAGTGCGGGATTCGTAAATCTTAGGTTACTTCTGTTACCATCCACAGAGGAAAAACAAATCTCCAACTTTCACTGTCCTTTTTCAAATTTTCCTTTCTCCCTCATATCTAGCCATAATCATTTTAATCTCCTGCATTTTCAGACGCTCTAATCATCATATTGCACGTTAAGGTTGTTTATGTCTCACCTAACATGATATTGAAAGCGACTCGTTGTTTGGTCGCAGATGTTTACAGTTCAGTCATAATCTGGATGAGGATAAGAGACGTGACATGTCAAACCATATAAACTGTGTATGAAATTAAGTGCTTTCTCTGCGAAGAGCGTGTGCTCAGTTTGGCTCAGGCATAGTAGCTGCAACAAATTGAATGGCTTCAATGGCTTATAACATACACTAATCCATGCTTATGAAGAGCAAAGTAAAAAATTGTATACATTACAGGGCTTAAAAATAAGGATGGTCTGATCACTATGAGAGCGTTTCAGGCCAGTTGATTCTAAGGCCAGTATTGCATTGTTGTGCGTATTTAACAAATCAGTAATGTTTTGCAAATACTGATAGATAAAAAGGTACAAAAGCTGTCACTGCGGTGGTACCCTTGAAAAAGGCACGTTTAAGGTACTAATATGCAAAAATATGTTGCTAAAAATAAAATAAAATGCAAAATCATATCTTTGGTAAGGCCTCTGAAAATGTTGGAAGTTCTTGACCAGACCTACAGAAAAAAAAAATTATATATATATATTTATACAACAGTTCGTTCTGGTTCTCAAACCTGATTGCTCTTAACTCCTAACTGAAGCAGCACATGCCCTTGATACGAATTCTAAAAGTGACGTGTGTTTAACTGTCAACTTGAGCTTTGAATCCGTGGCGGAAGGAAGTAGTTCCGCACAAAAGAGGGTTTTATTAGGCCCTCCGTCGTTTCTTGTTTAATTACACACATGTTCCGTCGAACTGTTGTATAAACGCAATATTACTCTCGTACTCGAGCGATACCGGCTCTATATCAGTGGCAGTGATTGCCTCCGGCCTCTGGCCTAATCACAGCCATAGAGCCGGTATCGCTCTCGTACTCGAGTGATATTGCTCATATATATATATATATATATATATATAT